TTTTTTTTAATGACCCCTCCTCTTTAAGGTCCCTAATGTTTTATTATACAATAAATATATTGATGCGAATATACCATTCTGAAGAAGTTTTTTTTTAAATACAAACTTAAGAAATTTCTGTAATACAAAATAAAGTAATGTTACAATTATATTGTCCAAATAAATTCTCAATATGTTTTTATTTTGACAAATATTTTCAGGAGAAAACGAAGTTTTATTGCCTTTGTTTCTTAAATCCATCGTCATTTATGTGTAAGGAACTTTGCACAGTTTGTGATGATTGCAACTTCTCTCTGTTGTGTGAATAGAATTTGTGAATAGAAGATTTGGAACAAAAACATTATTATTTTCCGATTGATTTAATGACTGTAAGAGCCATGTTGATCATGATGTCATGGAAACTAATGCCAGCAAGCATTGTGGAGTATTTTTCTATTAAAGTGCTTCTAAAGAAAATTGCAGTCATTAAATGCATTTAGTGTTTATTGCTGTTGTATCGCAGCAAGTACTGACAGTTATTTTTTCAACATTCTACTGTTGCAAAAGACAAATGCATTTATTTGTTTATGAGTCAGCTGTTTCTGATTTCAAGTTTCGAATTCCAAGAATCTTTCCTTGTAGACAGTCAGAATCTTTCAAGAACCTTTCATTATCTTCCAGAACATTGTGGTATTTACCATAACATTCCAGAATATTCTCGAAAGTTTTAGAATGTTATGAAAGGTTTCAGAAGTTTCTAAAAAGTGCCTGAAGTTTTGGCAGGTCTCAGAATAATCCATAATCTTCCTGAATGTTCTGGAAAGTTGCTGAATGTTTAATTATCTCCCTAAATGCTCTTGAACAGATAGAATAACCCTCTTTGAATAATATGGAACCTTTTAAAATCTTGTCATGGAACATTACAGAGTATTTCAAAAACATGTTTACCCTTACAAAATGCTCAGAATTCTTCCTTCCTCTTATTTGAAATCCTCAACTTCTTTATAATGAAAACATGTTTTTAGTGATTTAAGAGCTAACAATAATATATACTTTAGTGTTAGATAGATTTTAATATATACTTTAGTGTTAAATTTCATTTTAGTTTTGTGCTATAAAAATAAAATTTCAGTCATCATAAAGTTTCAGCTGAGAAATTTTATACTTTTTAAACAACCTTTATATATTAAGTTTAAAAAAACATCTCTATATATTAAGTTTAAAACGATGTTTTAAGCTTAATATATATAGAGAGTAAACTACGGTAGAGTAAACAAAAAAAAGTGAACAGTTTAGCAATTTTGTTTCTTTTGCAGTTATCGAAAGCTAAAACAAAAAATAGTAATAATACAAGGCACAGAACCATAGAGAATTTTGTGTTCTATCTAAGGTGTAAAAAATTTTTAAAAAGTTTATCTTTGCCTTAGCAAACTTTAAAATTCTCACCCAAGTAAAAAAAAAAATTTGTTTCAAAAAAATCAACTTCAAAACTCTAAAATTAAAATTAAATTTTGCTAAACTAAAAAGTTTTGTAGAAATTTTTATGATGATCAAGATTTTCTTATCAAAGCTGAATTGTTCTGGAAAAAGTTATGAGTGAAAAACCGAGATTGATGTTTTTCAAGGGAAGAAGAATCAGAATCTTCTTCACAATTATCTTCTTCAATAATTGAAGAAGATAATTGTTCATATGATTATACTGCTACAAAATGTTGTATTTTAGTGTATTTTATGTTGCAACAATTTTGCATGTTAGTTGTAATATGGCTAAATTAACTAATAATAATTAAAGTTTTTTGAAGAAGAGTAAATAAACTAATTGCTCACACTTATGCATTAAAATGAGTGGGACTAAAATAATTAACTAAAATATAAATAAATATGTCTTTGTTATCTATCTAAAAATTTTTAAAACAAAAATGACTCGTACTCGTAAAACAAAGACAACATATACTGAAGAGCAATTGCAACTTGCAGTAGAAGAATTTAAAAAAGATGAAATATTACTTAGTAAAGCTTTCCAGGCATACAACAGAGGCATTCTATAACAGAAGCTGTTTGCAAGTTTTATTATATTAAGCATTACAATACTTTGCGGAAAAAAACTAAATTTTAAAAACAAAGAAAGCAAAACTAACAAAATAAGAAATTAATAAAAATTTAAATTAATAATTTACATTTCATTGGATAATATAAATTAGATAATAAAAAGCTAAAAAAAAAAAAGTTTCAAGTTGACATTAAAAAGACTGGTTTACGTAAATTTTATTTGTTTTTTTAAAGAGAAAAGTGAAAATATAAATTTTTATCTTAATAAATCATACTTACAAAATCCAAGTCGGGTTGGCTGGAAGAGAAACAATTTATTTAAAGCCTCACTAAAGTGTTCATACCGGCAATCAAATTAATTCAATTTTTAGTGGTGGTCAAGGATGGTCCAAGATGCCCCAATGTTTTTCAATTAGATGGGACATGTTGTATGTCTATATATAAAATAACTGTATTCAGGGAACTTTAAACTAGGCATATTCAGTCTTTAGGAACGGTCATGACTGCTCAGGTGATTATTTTAGGGGCTATCAGTGGTCCTAGAATATCCCAATATTTTTTCAATTAAATGGTACATATTTGTAGTAAAATTGATATACTAAGCTCGAATATCACAGGAAAAATTATATCAGGTTTTGAGTGCTGGGGGTCTCTAGAATAAATTAACAAAAAAAAGTTACTAAAATATAAAAGTTGGTTTTGAAGGGTTTTGCTCACCTCTGGCCCACTGTGCACTGGTTTGTTCCAAATAGATAATAGAAAAGTTGATCAATCAAAATTACAAACTGCTCAAACATTACAAGTACCATCTCAGCCTACTTCATTATCTTCATCAAGCCTGCTTCATCATTTTCATCCCAGCCTGTTTCACCAATCTATATCATCATCTAACATCAAACTTCAACAATTCGCTAACTTAAAATATTTAACAACACCAGTGAATCCTGCTTATACGGATAAAATATTGTAACACTTCACAGAAAGACTCAAAGGCAATTTAAAAAATGATCTACAGCACCACAATAATGACACTGAAATAAAAAAAGAGTTAACATTCCAAGAGTTGAAGGCCAGTGTCTAAGTATATCTGAGGTGCTTGAGAAACTAAAGCAAGACAATGAGGTAAAAAAGTCTAAGCAATTAAAGAAACGCAAGATTGACTTCAATGAAGCTTCAGTTGAAACTCAACAAGTGCAACACTTTAAAAAAATGAGACAAGATAAAGACATCAAGAGGTGCAAAAAGTTTTGTGGAGTTTGGGAAGAAGCATTGCTAACTCAAAACAACATGCAGTACCAATGTAAAGCTTTTAGTTTTAAGTTTTGGGTTTATCAATCGTGTTTACCTAAAAAATACAAAATTAGTGAAGAGTTTTTTCGCAAGAAAAATTGCAGCGAACCTGCTTCTCACCATAAAAAAACTCATATTTATTTAATTAATAAATAGTTTTTTTGTATATTTGATTAAAATAGTTTTTTTGTAAATTTATAAGGTTAGTTTACATTTTAATTTAATTTATTTAGCTTGATTTTCTTAATATCTTAATCAATAGTTATTAAAATTTAACTGTTTACTTTTCCCCCATTATAGGTGGAAAAGTAAACGTTTTTTTTTTTCTTGATAAAAATCAATTTTTCAAAAAATTTCCAAAATATTTTTTCTAAACTTTTATATATTTATATACATAATTTATAAATATATAAAATTTTTTGCATGTTTCATTAAAATAAGTTACTTAAGAAGTCAGGGAGACACAACACTGCAAAACACAGACATAACACTTAACAAAAAAGTCAGAAAGACAAAGCACTGCAAAACACAGACACAACACTTGACAAAAAAGTCAGGAAGACACAACAAGTTTAAAAAATGGAAATCAAATAATAATTAAATATACTTAATAATATAAAATAATCTACAATTAAAAATGAATTTTTTCTAAAAACAACAATTTTCAAGCGAACTAAAAAGCAAAAAATAATTTTTCTTTGAGCTTGTCTGATTATATTCCACTTATAATGATGACAGATTTTATAACAAATTTGATACACAAAACAAAAAACGTTGAGCGCATGTTATAAGATAAAAGATTGGTGATCAACCAACAATTAATTGTTTCGTTTATCATATATCAGTGCAATATATCTACACTAATCATTAAAATATCCAACTATATTTAAATTATAATAAATAGACTTAAATACATCAACACAAACAAAGCATTAAATCAAATGTTATACTGTATGTCATAATATTATTAAATCACCACTTGCCCCCAACGTTTTTCGTTTTACGTGTATCAAATTTGTTATAAAATCTGTAATCATTATAAGAGGAATACAATCAGACATTCTTACAAATTCAAAGAAAAATGATTTTTAATTTTTAAGTTTGCTTGAAAAACGTTGTTTTTAGAAAAAACTCATTTTTTACTGTATATTATTTCTTACTTTTTAGATTTATTTGGTTATTATTTACTATGCGATTTCTTAAACTCAGTTAATATCGCAATAATTATTTTTAAAACTTTTTTTTACTAAATTTTTGTCCAATACGCATGTTGAACTATTTTAAATATTTTGTGTCCGTTACAAATTACTTTATATAATTAATTAGAGTTATGTAACAAAAGAATTCAGCAGAGTAACATAACAAAAGTTATGCAAAAATATTGAACTCATTCATTAATCATTTTGTTGAAATTGAAAGAAATATTGACTGCCGAAGTTTGAAAATGGTTTTAAATTGCATTATCATCGGGTTCTGAGGTATCCTGAAAGTTTCAGAGCACTAGCTAGTCAGAAAGTGATTTAAATATAGCTTCAAAGTTACAAGTTTATAAAAACGTTGCAATGTTTAATTAATTACATTACTTACTAAGACAAATTACTAATTATAAATATTTTTAAAATATTAAACATAAAATATAGTAAAACATATTTAAAAGTATAAAAAACAAAAATAAAGCTCACTGGTTCCAACGGTGAGTTGGTCCTCTCTGCAATATACATTAAATCATTGTCTGTGAGAGATTTCTAAAATTATTTATAACAACCTTAAAAAACTCCACAAAAAAATTTTAAATTTATATTGTTATATATATATATATATATATATATATATATATATATATATATATATATATATATATATATATATATATATATATATATATATATATATATATATATATATATATATATATATATATATATATATATATGAATATATATATATATATATATGTATATATATATATATATATATATATATATATATATATATATATATATATATATATATATATATATATATATATATATATATATGTAAACATTGATTTTTTGCAATAAAAAAAAACTGTTTGTTCTCTAGAAATGTAAAAAAGAATTAAAAAATGATTACAATTAGATAATAGATTGAAGGCTGCAAAAAGGTGAATCCCATGTGGTATAACGCTTGGCTTGAAAATGATAATAAAGAAAGTGTTAGAGCATTTTCAAATCTTGGAGATTTTTTATTCTTGTAACAATGTTTTATTTCAGAGTATATAATTTATTTCAGAGTATATAATTTATTTCAAAGTATATAATTTATTTCAGAGTATATAATTTATTTCAGAGTATACTGCGGCTACAGCTACGACTGCGGCTTTAGCTATATCACTCAACTGCATCAATCTACAGCTATATCATTAACTAATACAGCCATAAGCCTTGTAGAATCTATATTCATCTACTTTAGTTGTAGTGGAGTGTACATACATCAACTGAGGTTTTACATTTGGGTAGGCACTCTTTAAGTAATAGAATAGATTTTATAGATTAAAAACTAAAAAAAACAAACAAATTGTTGCCTAACAAAATCAGAGACCCCCTCTCCCCCTTATAAGATAACAAAATTACTAATCTTGCTCGCCTATGTGGTGTAATATGTAGTCAAACCCCTAACAGTATGAAAATATATGGAATATATAAGCACAGTGCAGACTTTGATATATACCAACATTGTCCTAATATATTTTGCACACAAAAACATTCCATAAAAAAAAAGTTTCGGCTGAAAATGCAAATATGTGCTTCAACAAAAGCCTCACCTCAGTAAGCTTGTATGGTGAAGATAGAGTTTTGGAAACGTTTTTCTGAAAGAATTAAAGTAATACATTAATTTGAAATATAACAATAAAGTTTTTGAAATTAAGTTTATCTGAAAAATTTATATTAATACATTTAATTTGAAATATAAAAATAAATCATTTTGCATACAAACTTAAAAAATGAACAAAAAACCTTTAATTTTTTAACTTTCCCATACTCATTTGAATTATCTACATCAATATCTAAATCACCTAAAAAATTCAAAATGACTGAAAAATATAACTTAAAAGTTTTTAAATAGAAAGAAAACCTAATTTATCATGGTTTAATAAATAAAGATTACCTAATCTATCATGATGAGGTAATGTAAGTGGAGTAAGCTAAAAAATATATATAATATGAATACAAACTTTAATGTTTCATTAACTTTTTTTGAATAAAAAACTTGTAATTGAAAATTATAAAAAACCAGTCAATTTATGCATAATCCCTAAAATTAAGAAAACAGTTCCTGTCTAGAGTATTTAAATTCATTCAGTTAAACAAAAATATAATAATATAAGACTAGTTATATTGATAGAAAATAATTTATTTTATTTTTTTTTGCCAAAATATTTTTTATAAAAAATTTATTTTTTGCATACCAAATAAAAACCAATTTTTTTTAAAGCATCTTTAGCATTTTTTTTTTTTCATTTGCTTTTAATCCTCTTGCATAGTTAATTTCTCAAGCTATAAAGTGATCAGTGGGATATATATTTTTTCGAACCTTTTCTTTAATTTACTCTTTTTCTATTTTTAATGTTGTTTTATTCCATTTCTTTAGAAATTTATTTTAGAATTTCTCTTTACTGATAAAAAAAAATTTTTTAAAGAAAAAATACTTTAGAGTTCTAACAGTTTTGCAAATAAGTGAAAAATTTTTTTCCACTTCAAATCTCTTTTCAACGTATTGCTAATAAGAAGTTTAGAATTTTAATAAAATTGTTGCTGTGATGTTTGCTATGATGTAGTTATTTATTATGAAAAGAAATTACATCTAGTATAAAAAAATTTTATCTAGTTAAAATAAATTTCATCAGAGTTTATTAATTGAAATAAATGATCAACTTATTAACTTACATGTTCATCCAAAATGTCTGACTCTGTAGATGACATATTATTACCAAAAAGATGTTCTTTTACGGAAGTGTTTATCATTTTTGTAACCAAACTAGCATATTAAATCAAAATTACTTATTTTATTGAGAAAAAAATATTTATAATATTGAAACTTGATGTAAACAAAACTAGAATATTCTAAAGGAAAAAATGTATAGAAACTATTAATTGAACTGTCTGAAATACTCTGAAATAAATTTCAGAACTGTCCAGAAACGTTGTTCTCTAAAAACCTTAACTCAAAAACTAAAAATAACATCATAACCTATCCTAGTCATATATAAACAATTTGGCATAAAGCGCGACGCGTGTGTTATTATAATAATACACTTTGTCATGAAGTGTGATGCGTGTGTTATTCCAATATAATATAGATTGAACTTAATACTGTACATCTTAAATATGATTCTTTAAAAAGTTGAATTACTTAATTTACTTAAACTGGGTTGATTTATTTTTACAGATATGTAAAGATTGTATATGCAAATATAAATTAAGACAACTTTTAAAACTTTTCTAACAAAAAGTCTTTTTTACTTAAATTAGTATGTTTTGTATCTAAAAAATTGACATGATGGAAAAACAAACAGAAAAATTTTACCGCAAAGCGATTTAAGCACACATAAATATTAAAAATTAAACTATTTATGACAATAGTAATTAATTTAATACATTTTAAGTGAGTTTTATATTTTGAGTGGGTTCTCTAAACATCATGTTACATGCTCAACTATATTGCATCGCAGGTACAATTTAAAAAAAAAAAAATGCATAATTTATAATTCAAAAAAAAAAAAATTTTCTCTGTTGTATAGTGAGCACTTTTCCAATTTAAAAACTCAAAGTTGATTAAATTTTTGTTATTTAATTAAAAAAAAAAATAGAATTTTGGTACTAACACCTGAGTCGCCTAAAGTGTGTTAAAAATGATTTTATTATAAAATTATTTTCATAAAAAGAAACTACACACTCAAAATTCATTACATTTTTGGTTTTTTAACTTTAACAGAAAAATTCTTTGAGAGAAAAAAAATGATCAGCCTAGGTGATAAAGTTCAGAACCCTTTAGTCTCAATGTAATAGCAAGATGTATTTCATTTATGGTCTAACAAAAATGCAGCCTTCCAAATCGAAGATGTTATTTGGCAATACCAACACAAAAAAACAACCTATTTTTACTTTATTGGTATACAACTGTCTAACCTTACAACTGTCCAACATTTTAACTGTCAACCTTACAACTGTCAACCTTACAACTGTCAAACTTAATTTCTAAAAGTGTCAGCGAATGTATATAAATATAAAAAAGTACATGCTATACAAACTGATTTCATAATTTAGTAATTAGAATTATTACTTTCATCAAGTTATTTAAGTTTAATAACTAAACAAACAAACAAGCACAACATAAAATAAAGTTTATAAAAACAAACGCTTTATTAAAACAAACAAAAAATTTATTCATTCATGTCAAGGATTGCAATGTTATAAGGATTGCAAAGTTAATAAAACTTTTTTCTGTTTTTTTCATACTTTTTTCACTCTAAATTTCAGTGCATTGTTTAAAGCTTTTATTTAATTTATTTTATTAAAACCTTTCGAAATTTTAAAATTATTTTAAATTTTAACATTATTTTAAATTAGAAATTTAAGATAGAAAACTTAGATAAATATATTAATTTTAGTTTTAGCTGCTCAGACATTTTTATCTTAACTTTACTATGTTAAGCATAGAAAAGTTATAATAAAAATATGTGTAGAATATTTATTATTTTCAGTTAAAGCAAAAAATAAATAAATAAAAATTAATATATATATTACATTCAATCATACAACCAGTAATTTTTTATAATTATTTTTCCCTCTTTCTTTTTAAAGTTCTTCAAGTTAAGTTTCAAGTTCCCTTTTAAAATTTGTTTCCTCTTGTTTTTGAAAGTGTTCTATCATTTATTTACATATAATTATAATTATATGTAAAAAATATTTAAAAAAAATGTTGATGTGCAGTGGTTCCAAAACATTTGAAATTATTTTTAGAAAAATAAATTATAAAAAAAATAATAAAAAATGTTAATTATAAGTTTCTCATCTTATTATAAAAAAATTTAAATTTTAGTGTGAACTTGACAGGTTAAAAAATTCTCATCAATAAATTTTATTTATATGTAATGTTTTAATAAATTATGAAATTTTTTTTTTTTTTTTTTTTTCATTACAATTGTTATACTGACACTTTGTCAATCTGCCTGCTATACTTTCTGTTGATATAAACTTCTAATTTTGTCAATCTATCTACTATTTTACTTTGCCAATTTGTTTACTATACTTTCAGTCAATACAAACTTGCACCAAATATTTTTATTATTAAAAAAAAACCTACTTTTTGTTTAACGGAGAAAGAGATGAATTGTCAAGGTTAATATCTTCATTGTTAACTCTAAAAAAAGAAACAGAAAAATGCATTAATAGTATTTTCTAATGAAGCCCTTTCTCTTTTAGACAAGATGCAAAAACGCATTGTAAACATAGCTGGACCTGCTCTTACAGCCAACCTTCAACCTCTATCACATCATCGTAATGTTGCTTTTCTTTCTCTTTTCTACAAATACTATAATGGGCACTGCTCTAAAGAGCTAGCGTCTCTTGTGCCATCTACTAAAATTCATTCTCGTGTTACTTGTCATTCAATTAAGTCTTATCCTTTTTCTGTTACTGTTCCTAAGTGCTCCAAAAACTCTTATTTGTTTAGCTTTTTTCCTCAAACATCAGTTCTTTGGAATTCACTTCCTTCATCTTGCTTTCCTGATTAATATAATTTGCAACCTTTTAAGTCATGTGTCAATCGTTATCTTGTTCTACAATCTTTATCTTTTCTCTTCCAGTGATTTCCAATACTAATTAGTGGTTGCTTGCAGCCTTGTTGGAAGCGAAGGTGTTTAATAAAATAACAATTTTTATTAAATCAAAATTGATGAAACTAACATGCTAACATGCTTCATAAACAAGAGACAAAAAGTTCAAACTTCACTACATTCCTGGAAAAATATTTTTCAAAGCTCACCATTTCCTTAGAAAAGCTGTTCCCAAGCTCACCACTTCCCTAGCTAAATTATTCACCACTTCCCTAGCTAAATCATCTTGTTACTATGCACAAAAAATTATAAGTCTACCTTATTTGTCAAGACTTATGAATTTGTTAAGTTTGAAAGAAAGTTAATAAGTCACCCCAACTGTAGTGTTTAATGTATATATATATATGTATATATATATATATATATATATATATATATATATATATATATATATATATATATATATATATATATATATATATATATATATATATATATATATATATATATATATATATATATATATATATATATATATATATATATATATATGTATATATGTATGTATGTATGTGTGTATATATATATATATATATATATATATATATTTATATATATATATATATATATATATATATATATATATATATATATATATATATATATATATATATATATATATATCAGACTTGGTCAGGAAGCAAGAGTGATCGCTCTCAATTGCTGACCTCGGAAATAATATTTAGTTGCAAAAAGCTGGCCAGATTTATTAGTCGTTTTGAGAACATTTCAAAAAGCAAAAAAAAATGCGCAAAAGATTAATTGGAATGATAAGAGACAATTACAAAAAAAAAATTAGGAAAATAAAATATCTTTTAACACAAAAAAACTTAAAGCAAAATAAATTACATTTAGAATAAATATTTTTGAAACATCGCTCTTTTATAATTTTTTTATAAAATTAAACGACATTTTTTATATAAAGTAACATCTTATGTTTGTTTAAAAAGGAAACAAATGTTCTTTATTTATCAAAGTTTGCAAGTTTTATCTAAGCTAAATTAATTATAAATAAAAAGTTAATTTTTTTAATACCTATTTTATGTTTCGCATAGTTTAAAAAGTTTAAAATATTTGAAGCAATTCTACTTAGTGAGATAAACAAATGAAATAATTAAATCATTGAATTACTATAGAAATTAAATCAACTACATAAAAAAAGTTACTTTTATGACGAGGAAGCAAAACTGCTTCACAATATCACTGATGATGTTTAGTGACTGGACTTTTTAATTTTAATTAGTATTTTTAGCAGGAAAAAGTATAAAAGAATAACGAGTAAAAAGTATAACGTGTTTTTAAGAATGGAACTTAAGCAAAAATAATTAGATTTAGTAAACCAATATCTAGAAACTTTTATTTATATCTAATAACTTGCTATATATATTTGTGTTCTGTCGTGACCTCAGACACAGTGCTTGTTCATCCGCGAGTTACATTGTATACATAGTTTGTGTTTAGTACTCAGAAACTTCTATGTTATATGTTTGTTACATAATTAGTTTTATTAACTTTAATGATTATTAATAACTTCATTGAAAACATAATTATTTTTGTAAGTCTTTGTTTACAAATTAAATCAATAAAAAACAGATATGCAAAATGACATTTGCATAAAAAATATATAAGGTATATGACTAGAAAAAAATATTTGGAACTTTTTATTGCCCCTATTGTTATGAGTAGACATATATCATTTCTTTCAAGAATATACCATTAAAAAATTTTAACCTTGAAAAAAAGTCACCCTCCAAACTGATTTTAATTTTACACATAGGCTGCCTTATCCAAATGCTGAACTTAGTAACATTTGTTAATATAATAATGCAATTTCATGTTCTATAAAGACAAATAACCTACAAGTAAATAAAGTCTGTTAGGAGGGTAACATTTTAACATTTAAATTGTTTGTAGCTCTCTATTTACTGAATATGAATGTTACAAGATCATGTTATGTACGCTACTCTAAGTTCTTATAACTATTTTTTTATCTAATAAATTTCATATTTATTAGTAATCTAATATTTAGATTCCTATAACCTGTTTCTTCTGGCACCAACACAGCATTTAACTGATTGTTTACTATCTGGAGAATTACAACTTTGAAACTGCAATGTCTAAAAACGCCCCTCCTTCAGAGAAGAATAAGGAGAATTGGTCTTCAAATCTAATGCAATTTTAAAAGTGCGAAAAGTCAAGAAAGTATACTATCATTGACAGTCTTGATCAGATGCAAAGAATTCCAATTGAGCAGAATGTTTTCGACAGATTTAAAACTCTGACTTCTGATGTAAAATGTAAAATTCTAATGATAGCAGATGAAGCGAATTCTAATGATAGCAGATGAAGTGAAAGGCCTATAGAATAATTTGAATCTGCCAATTCAACAAGGTAGATCTACGGTTGCACAAAAAGTTGAGAATGTACTAAAAATTGGTAACTGCAACAAAACTGAGTACAAGGAAGGCAAACAAAGTATGTGAAACTTTGTCCAAAAGCGAAGTTTCCATACCTATTCCAACTCAGGGTGGCATCTACAAAGCAGTAATAAAAGAAGCAGAAAAGTTAAAAAGAAATTTCAAGGAAAATTTAAAAAATGAACACTAGTGTGAACACTTTGATGGTAAGAATATATAATGAAGGATTATCAGGTAGTTGTTTTGAAAAATGAAACTAGGGAAGTCAGACTTGCTGTCTTTCCATTAACAAATGGAAAAGGTGAGACAATACTGCAGCTAATACTGGAAAAAATCTAGGAGCTGTCACACTTTTGTAGAAGCACTTTGAAGATATTGGATTAGAAAAAGCTGTGTTTATTAGTTGTCAACACCATATTCTGGATACGATATTGAAACACATCATGAATGATCATTTATATATATATATATATATATATATATATATATATATATATATATATATATATATATATATATATATATATATATATATATATGTATATGTATATATATATATATATATATATATATATATATATATATATATATATATATATATATATATATATATATATATATATATATATATATATATATATATATATATAGACACACACACACACACACACACACAAATTTCCGCTCATTATTATTTAAATAAAATTAACATTTAATAATTTTTTACTTTTTATTTCTGCGTTATTAGATAAGTTTGGTAATATAATATAAGTTTGATAATATGTGGTAGTGGTGTAATGGTAGAGCGCTCGCTTCATAAACGAGTGGTTCCGAGTTCAATCCCCACCACGTCCCTGGTAGTACCGTGCTCAACTTGTTTCTCCGCGCAGCGGCCTTGTTCATCAAGGTTTGTGTTTCAGAGTTATAGAGTTGAGAGAGGGTTATAACCACAATTAAGTAGCCTCCTCGTCTGTAGTGGCCTTCTCGGCCTTGAGGAGGTGAATTAAAATTAAAAAAAAAATAAAAAAAATATAAAAGTATTTTGAGTAAAATACTTTGATAAAAGTCATAAAGTTAACAAACTACATGTTTAAGTTGGTTGAAGTAGGGTTTAAAATTTATTTACATAAGCGTACTGTTATGATAATAACACAATAATCAAATCAAGTTTATGTCAGTCATTCATAAATCATGCAATTATTATGCCTGATATTTGATGGTAATGTAAGCAACATAAGCATTTAACTATTCCTGTATGTTTTTTTTCAATTGATTTACTCCAGTTTACATACTACAATTGATACAGCTGGAGTGAAATTCGGTTTGAATTTTACATATTGATTGTAATATGCACTAATTGCAAATATACTTAACGTACTATACACTGATCGAAACATACACAGAATAAAATATGCCCTCTTTATAACATACTCATTTTTCAAGACTTTATCGTCACTTGTATTAATTGTAATCTTTGGAGTAACATTTCGACTTCTATAATAGGAGCCTTGTTCTGCTGAATCTTTTTCCCCCGAATCCAGTATTAAAGCATCAGATGTATACTAAAAAATATAAAAAATAAAATAATATATACTTTTTGTTTCAGATAAAAAAAAAAATTTTAAGTGATAAGAAACTTAATACAGGTAAAAGGACCTCAGAATGCTAGGTGTTTTTTAAGATCCTTGTTAAGACTAACTATTTGGGCAGCCACTTAGTTTTTACTTTTAAGAGTTAACAAAATACTGTCTTGACTATTAGAATGCCAAAAAAGTTATATTCTAAATATGTATCTAAAGACATATGAAAGTGGTACTTTCATATGTCTTTAGATACATATTTAGAATATACTTTTTTCAATAATTTCAATCAATTTTTAATTTTTGTTAGAAAATCATAAATTTCTGCATATAAGCATTATTTCCCTTGCTGAGTATATTTTTAAATGGTTGGTTCACTTACCGTGAACTAACAAATCAAGATGCAATGTTCTAAGAGACGTCATAGAGATAAAAAGAAAGCAGTTAAAGGAAGCAGTTGAGTAGTGTCAAATCAGCAACAAACGTGGTTATTTCAAGGAAATTTCCACTAGTTAAAGATCTAAAAAGTACTAACAAACAACTTGATAATGTCATTGAAATTGGAAGAGAGAAGGAATATTGTTCAATTTTTACCAAAGATGAGGAAAAGTTGCTAGAAATAATAAAATATAATAAAAAACAAAATTGGGTGAAAATGAGGAAAAGTTGCTAGCCTGTTATATAAAAAAACAAAATATAAACATGATTTATGAGCAGCCGTGGCAAAGTGGTTAGAGTTCTGGCTCAGAACCAAGAGGTTCCAGGTTCCTAACCTTTACAAATGACAATTGCAACCAAGATCATAGTACATTTCTTAGTGCATATCAAATGTTCAACCACTACTTAGAAAAAATATATATAAAAACGGCCTGTAGTTGTCTTATCTGATATTTGTTTATAATATTTAAGAATATATTATAATATTGTTCATAATAGTTAAGAATATTTTTTTCCAAATAATCTTTAAGACTTGACATTATCAGGGTGGCCAGCTAAAAGTAAATTTAAAATTCCAGGATATTTCCAGGATTTTTCAAGGAAATTTTGGGTTATTCAAGGATATATTGATTTTTTCTCGATAATAAAATGGACCAGTAAATGCAAAATATATTGCCTTAGAACAAAACAACTAAATATTTATATTTGAATACGCATATAAATCATATATACATACATATAATTGTTTGTGTTAAATATTAATCATATATACATACATATATTTATGTAAAGTTTGTACAAATAAAATTGTACAAACTCATACAAACATATACATGTATATATATATATATATATATATATATATATATATATATATATATATATATATATATATATATATAATCTTTAAAAGTCATTTCTTGTTATACGATATGTTTATAAATATATAAATTGATCTCAATAAAAAAGGCAGCATGTAACTATTTTTTAAATATATTTTGATATAATAATATATTAATGATATTTTGCTGACCTATTGGGGTCAGCGTCATTTTAGGGTCAGCATCAAGTAATTGATGACGCTGACCACAATATTATATCTATCTATCTATCTATATATATAATATATATATATATATATATATATAATATATATATAATATACATATATATATATATATATATATATATATTATACATATATATATATATATATATATATATATTATATATTATATATATATTATAATATACATATATATATATATATATATATATATATATATATATATATATATATATATATATATATATAATATATATATATATATATAATATACATATATATATATATATATATATATATATATATATATATATATATATATATATATATATACATATATGCTTGCCATTATATATAATATATATGTTTTTTGACACCAATTACATCTTGCTTTCTTTGAAAAACATAATTTTACCCAAGAAGAATACTTTTTATTGTAAAGCCATTCTATTTGGAAATGACAGTTCTTTGACTTGGGCGTTATGTTAGTTATATATTAATTGTTATATATATCATTTGTATATTCTATTTTCTAAATATTTAGTAGAATTAATAATACAGATAGTAAAATTAATAAAAATATTTTCATCATACCAGAAAATACATAATTAAACGAAAAGTTTTGTAAAAGATGAAAACAAGAAAACGGAATATTGAACTCTATAAAAAAAAGTTCCAGGATTTCCAGGATTTTTTGTAAAAAGGGGTGTTTTTCTAGGACTTTTCCAGGATCTATAAAATTCCAGGACTTTTCCAGGATTTCAAGGATTTCAAGGACCGCTGGCCACCCTGGTTATGTACTGACTAAGAAGTAAAAATACTTGACTTTTCATCACTTCACTTGGCACAACTGGCGTTACTCAGCTCCTTGTTCAAATCAATCAGAAATTGCACTCTGAGTACCGAAATTTTTATGACAACCAACATGGAAGGTTTCATGTATATACTTGCAGAGTTACGACCAGAGTGGGCATCATAACAAACAAATATAAATGCAGGTTAAAAAGTTGGGATTTTAAGTAGAGAACTCAGTGTTAAATGGATGCAGACAGATAAGTTCTTACAAGCCAAGCTGAAAATTATTAGAAATAATTTCATTAATCAAGTAAGACAAAGCCAAAAAAAAGCTAATAAAGAAAGGAAATCTAAGCAACAACAACAAATTTAAGCAATCTACAATGTAAGGAAGAATGTATATGTGGCAAAAATATTTATGCTGCAACTAAGAGAATGCTCATGTTGCCATAAAATTTTTAAATCTACATGCAGTAAAGCATCATGTCAAGGTAAAACAGGTTCAAAACCAAATATGATCAAACCATTTTGTGAAAGAGGGACCAAAAAATGTTTGAATCTGATAAAGATTACATTGAAGACTTCTTTCTTTCCTCTGACTTTTTCCAGAATACGTATCATTCTGTTTTCTCTAATTTTGAATTATCGCATATATAGGACTTATATATTTTTTGTTCATTATTTAATTTTTTTAAATTTGTATAAATTTAAATTCTTAAATGAAATCAATGTTTATTATACAGTTTTTTGAATCAGTTTCTCAAAACACTAAGTGAAGCACCAAAAAATGCTAGGTAATTTGAAATGTGATTTTATCTTTAGAAAACATTCTAAATTATATTATCCTTAGAAAACATTCTAAATTTTGAAAAAAAAAAATTTTTAATTTAGAATGTATTGTAAGGATAATTTATTTTTTTTCTTAACATTATTTCTTTGTTCAAATTATTCATGGTTTTCGGTATAAAATAGAAAATTTTAAGTTTAATGTTGCTTAATTTAAAACCTGACATTCTGAGGTCTCACTGCATTATGAGGTCCTTTTACCTGCACAGTAAACATTTAATGTACTCTAACTTAAATATAATTTTCTTCGTAAACTAATAGCATTTATGAAAAGTAATTTTTTTATAGTTAACTAATAAACATTTGTTAATAGTAATTTAATTTTATCAATATTAGCTAATAAAAAAAACACAAATTTGAAAGAAAGCATATTGTTTGAAAGCTTTTGTGAAGCATATTGCTTGAAATGTTTAGCGATTTATAGTTATAAGTTTTTATAGCAGCTTTACAACATTTGGTCTAAAGTAAAATATCTGTTCAAAACATATTGATTAGAAAAGCTTCATAGCTTGTCATGAATAGTTCAATAAAGAAAATCTTTAAAATCTTCTCAATAAATTCTTCTAGATGTAGTGTAGTGGTAGAGGGCTGGCCTCATAAGTAAGTTCCAAGTTCAGTCCCCACCAAGTCATTTCAATACTGTTTGAGCTCAAATAGACTTTGCCATTTATCATAATGAAATTAATATTGGTTTTGTTTAAAAAATTATTAGCTTTTTGTGTTAAGTACATATTATAAATTTGTACTTAAGGGTAGATTAGGGTAGATTAGGGTATTATAAGCATCTTAAGCGAAAATTGGAATACTTTTGAAAAAATAATAATGCTTTATCCAAATTTTTTGCAAATAAACAATTTTTAAGGATCACTACTTCTGATCCTTAGGTTTCAACAACTTAGGTTGTTGAAATTTTTTCTTAAAACCACAGAGGTTTTCAAAAGTAACAAAAGTGCTCATATTACCCAGACCACTCGGTAATATGAGCACTTTAAACTAGCTCAAAAAAATAACATTAAGTTATAAAACACCTTGAAAATTAGAACAAATTTATGAAATATAATGATTCGTTAGTAGCAAAACTTATCAATAAAAGATCAAATTTTAAGCCACTTTTTTTAAAAAAAAAAAAAGTTAGTTCCCTATTATTTCAATTTTATTAACTTTTAAAACAAATTACAAACTACAAATTTTTTGAACTTAGTTTACTGAAAAATATTTAGTAATAAAATATTATAAATTCTACTACCTTTTGTTTTTATTCTAAAAACAATTAAAACCACTGCAATTTTAGCACTTAAAATAGGTAGTTTCGATGAAAAATAATGGGTAATTTGAGCGTGCTCATATTACATAAAATTGATATCTTTAAGTAAGGTCAAAACTAAATGTTTCTATGCTTTGTTTTGCAAAATTGGAACAGATTTCTAGCTAACATATTTTTTTATAAAAAATTAAATTTCATTATTTTATAAATTTATAAGTTATAAATTATAATTATCAGTAAATTATAATTATCAGTAAATTATAATTATCAGTAAATTATAATTATAAGTAAATTATAATTATTAGTAAATTATAATTATAAGTAAATTATAATTATCAGTAAATTATGATTATCAGTAAATTATAATTATCAGTAAATTATAATTATCAGTAAATTATAATTATCAGTAAATTATAATTATCAGTAAATTATAACTATCAGTAAATTATGATTATCAGTAAATTATAATTATCAGTAAATTATAATTATCAGTAAATTATAATTATCAGTAAACTATAATTATCAGTAAATTATAATTATCAGTAAATTATAATTATCAGTAAATTATAATTA